ATTTGCATATTCAGAGATTCTGGAGGTTTTAATGAGGTACAAGGAGGAGATTACTATTTAAGGATTTTAATGTGGTTTTTGCTAAAAAATATCAGACACACATAATTATGTACAGTATAAGTGTTTGTATTATTGTATGTCTGTTCTTTAAGTAATCATATAACAAAAGCCAGAAGCTAAAACATATTACAATCTGAGCGATACTGGACTTGTGTTTACAGTGAAGGATTGCTGCTGTTTTCATGAGAAGTCTCCTTTATTACAGAGCAGTCATGTCTGTTTTCCGCTGTGTGCAAACTCGGCTCATGTGGCCCAGTGGTTGATCTTATTATCTCTTATGTGTTAAACTAATACAGTTAGGCCTAATGGGTTCCATCCAAACAGCGCAGGAGGGGGCTACTGAGATAGCTCCAACGTTATGACACAAAGCAAGAGAGGTAGTGTGTGAAAATGTCTGAGAGAGGATAAAAGTGGGCAGTGTCTGTCCATGCCCTCTAGAACAACACATAGAGGAGTTTTATGATTTGATGCCCCTATTGACAGGATGATGTCATTCGTCTGTTTAATGATAAGGCAAAGATGACTTGGTTTGGTGTAGGTCAGCGAAGATCATGGTTTCGGTTAAAATAAGCTCTTTGTCTTCATGGTTACAATAAGAACCATGCAGCAGTGCTGCAGTCAGGTATATTTTGCTGAGGCCAAGACTAGGACTAGTCCAAAGAGGTGCATCTCCAAGTCCAAAGAGGTTAGAGTCCAAGTCAAGGTCGAGTCCAAAGAGATTCGAGTCCAAGTTCCAATGATAGTTACAGAGTCAAGGCATGCAGTTGCAAGTGGCATTGATTGGTTACACATCCAAAGAACATATATAAAATCCAGACCAGGCGTCTAATTGAAACCTGCCTTTATTTGTCAAAACATGTTGCCACACCAGGCTAGTAGAGGAGATATAGATAAAGACAGGAGCCTATGACCCTGTTTCTTTTTGAATCTATATTGTTACAATCCAGAATATGTGTGTATCAAAAATTATGAAGATCTGAAATCCCTAACCTTTTGTTCTAGAGGTGTTTGCCTGGAAAATCAAACAAGCTAATGACAGCTAAACCAAGGATGTTACGAGTAGCTGTAGCCTCATACCGTGGCCAATTTGAAAAATGTTATGCTTAGCTCTGCTAGTACTTCAAGTGCTGTAAAAAAAAAAAGATAAAATTCCACTGTGGACATTAATGCGTTAATGTAGAAGCCAACTACTTTTCTAGCATGTAGGGCAGCCCATACGGCACTGCACTGCATTTTCTCCACTGGAAGGGCACTCTAGATGGCACTTCATCATGTTTTCTTGCACACTGGGCCACTGTAGAGGGCAATTTATCATGTTTTTTTGAACATGATAAAGTGCCCTGTTGATCCACCAGTGACTGGCTCAATAGCATTTTTAGAATTGTGAAATGATTTAATGCCTCACACCACATTTGAATATTTCTGTTCAGGTTGTTTTCATCTGGTAGGGCCAGCGTGGACCTGCTTTCAAAGTCACAATGAATTCATGTAAAACATCAAACAGCTGTGCTTTTCGTTGTCGGACATGGGCGTCGCTTTGTTGGCGACTCAAAGGGGACTGAATCAGCCTGTGCTTTATATCACAGCGACATGTGGCACAGCATCCACACCTAGTTTGTCATGGTTTGTCATTCGCTGGGATCCAGGGGCCCTAAAGAAAAATGGGCATTTTATCATCAGGGCGCTTAGACTTTATATCATTCCCTTAGATGATAAATGTGCATCACCATTTAAATCTTAAACACATTTATCTTTAATGTAAATGTAAAAACACCCTTCCTTAGAATATGCTGTGTAATAATGTTATAAGCTGTCAGCTGGGTCAAAGGTGCTATACAAATACAGATCATGATGAAGTTGATACTGGTTTATTTCAGACGTGTGTATTTATTTTAATTTTTCACTGATCTGTTCTCTGCTGTTCTTTCTAGGATTCAAGTGTCCTGTCTGCTCCAAGTCTGTGGCGTCCAACGAAATGGAGGTTCACTTCATCATGTGTCTAAGCAAACCTCGCCTCTCCTACAATGGTAAGGAAGGCTGCTGTTTGTGTCTCTATTTACATTTTCTTTATATGACATGATACTGCAGATATTGTACTTAGAAGGAAAAGCCAGGCTCACTGTTGTGCCAGTACATAATGAACTGATTTTGGCCCTGCTATTTCGAGATTATGTATTTTTTCCATATTTATTGGTCTTCACAATATTGTGCCAAGTTTCACTGCTGTTGTGCTGATAAATATTCATGACAAGGTGGGTGGGTCTATAGACTGATGCGTGTTGTCAAGCTACTCCTACCAAAACATGATAAATATGAATGAGGGGAAATGAGGAAATTGAACAGCAAACAACTATGTGCACAGTGACTCAAATAGTGACAGAGAAGCTGCAGTAGGTTTATAAAAAATAACTTGGTTGTACAGGAGACAGTTAATCTGGTTCCTCTGGCTCCCCCTAGTGCTTCTTAATACATTTACAAGAATCCACCGTACCCGAAAACAAAACATCCAATCAGAGCCAAGAAAGATAGGACACTTTGGGTTGGTGGCTTAAAGATATTGATTGCTAAGTCTCATTCCCAGTGTTGATATTTGACAAATAAGACTCAACAGTCAAGTATCTTTCTCAGCTCTGATTGGTTGTTTTCGTTCTGGCCCGGTGGATTTTTGTAAATACCACTAGGAGCACTAGGAGGAGCCAGAGGAAAATGATTTTTTCACAGATTATCTGT